ACGCTACCATGCTAACGCTACCATGCTAACGCTACCATGCTAACGCTCACGCTACCACGACGTCTGCCACAGATAGGGGAGTAAGCTGAGGGGGGGGGGCAACATGCAGGTGAAAGGCTGGAATATTATAATGAGCTAGAGCTAATGAGGTCAGAAACTACCCACTCCTGAAACCTCCTGATTTATCTCCTGGATTCAGACTGAGGCGGCCCACAAAAACATGACTGAGTCATTTTGTTTCACACTTTGCCTTCTGATAGGCCCTCCACAGTCCCAAATGTACACAATCACATGATTAAAAACTTGGTTTTGCATAATATGTCCCCTTTAAACTCCAGCTCTGTTTCAGCTTGGGAGCCAAAGAAAACTCTAAAATCACTTTAAACCAGGAGGTGCTTTCGTTACTGTTTTGTAATTGCTCACATTTCCTGGCTTGTCAAGCGTTTTTATCTGATATTATTGATATTATAGGTTTTGAGGGTCATCAGCAATCCAAAAAAAACTGCTGGAAAATTTTACATTTGAATATTTTTCTACACCAGCTCTAATTTCCCAGCAGAAAATAGTAAAAGGTGAAACTTTTCTGCATGTTTGATGGTAAAAAATATGTATTTCCACCCGGTGGATGAACATGAATCAGAACATGACTACATCAGCTAATTTTAGAATAAATGTGGGAACAAAACTGGCATTACACATATTTTTTATCCCTTTGAAATGTTTTTGTTTTTAGGAACAATTAGACTGATTGTAGCAACCGAGACCACAAAAGTTTAGTTTAAAAAAAAATATATATATATATTTTATTTTGCTGTATAACATCAGCATGTCCTGCTCAGATATAAACTGATTTTAAAGAGTCCTGCTGCAACCCAACCTTCAAAAAAAGACTTGGATTTCATATAATTAAAAGGAGTTTTTCCAATTTTGGGCTTTCCTGCTGACCTGGGCCTGGTTTTGTGTTTTTTTTGCAGGAAAGCTGCAGACTCTCCACACTCTGCTGCGGAAGCTGAAGTCCGGCGGCCACCGCGTGCTGATCTTCACCCAGATGACGCGCATGCTGGACGTGCTGGAGCAGTTCCTGAACTACCACGGACACATCTACCTGCGGCTGGACGGCAGCACCCGCGTGGAGCAGAGACAGGTGGGTACCCCCAAGTACAGGTACAAGTACTACAGGACTGTCTCAGAAAATTTGAGTATTGTGAAAAAGTTCTTTATTTTCTGTAATGCAATTAAAGGATTAGGATTTTTTAGTTTTCTTCAGCTGTACGCCATAATCAGCGATATTAAAACAATAAAAGGCTGATTCAGTTGATTTGTAATGAATCCAGAATCTATGACATTTCATGTTTTTTAACTGCATTACAGAAAATAAAGAACTTTAACACAATATTCTAATTTTCTGAGACAGTCCGGTATATAAAAAAAAATTGACTTGAGTCAAATTTGAAGTGTTCTTTTCAACACCATACTTAAGTGGAAGTACAGAAGTTATCCATTTTTTTTGTACTATTGCAAGTAAAAGTTTTTCAAAAATTGCTACTCAAGTATCGAAAGGACAAGTATAAGTGAAAGTACAAGTACTGTGTATATTAAAAAAAGGCAGTCAAAAGTTTGATATATATTGTTTATATTATTTCAAACGTGTGAAAGGCCATACAGGTGTTTACAAAAACAGAAAACTACATCTGCATTAGCAATCAACAGCACTTCATCTACTATTATTTATTATTCCAGAGTCAGAATCCTGAGCTGAGCCTTTATGCTAGCATGTAGCATACAGCTAACCAGCTAGGTTAGCTTTAGCTAACGTTAGCTGAGTGAACAGGGAGAACTGAACTAGCGTATATTTACTAGTTTATACGTCATTGTAATTTTTAACTTACCTTGATATGCTTCTTCAGATTAGACAGGGATTTTTTGAAGGCAATCTTTTGGGAGTTTTTATTTCTATAGGCTATTCTTGATGGCTTAAATCGGAAAATGAGGAGCCAGCTTCCCAAACCCTAACAGAGCTATCTACAGCTCTGACTCTGACTCTATGACTGGGGATGATTCATTGCGTTTACATATCAGTAACCAGTAACGACGTTTGTGAAAGTAGAAGTAAAAGTATAACATTAATCAAAAATATGTAGTTGAATAAAACTAAAAGTATTAAATTAATCAAAAATATGTAGTAGAGTAAAAGTAAAAGTAGGGAAAAAATTATATACTCCAATAAAGTACAGATACTGCATTTTGGTATTTAACCACAGTACTTAAGTAGTTCTACTTTTAACCCCCCCCCAGTCCCTCATGGAGCGCTTCAACGCAGACCGGCGCATCTTCTGCTTCATCCTGTCCACGCGCAGCGGCGGCGTGGGCGTGAACCTGACGGGCGCCGACACCGTGGTCTTCTACGACAGCGACTGGAACCCCACCATGGACGCCCAGGCGCAGGACCGCTGCCACCGCATCGGCCAGACCCGCGACGTCCACATCTACAGGTGAGCCCAACAGGGGGCCCCAAGAAGGAGGAAGTCCAGTTCAATTCAGTTTTATTTCTATAGAGCCACATCACGACAACAGGAAGTATCTCCCAGCTTTCCAAACATAGCAGCTCAGACCGGACTCTGAAGTTATTTAAAGAATAAAGAACAGCAGTTCCCACCAAGAGCAAGCACTAGGCGACCCAGGGAAGGAAAAACTGCCTTTTAACTCATTGACTGCCAGCCATTTTCAGAACAGAGAGTCGCTCACTGCCAGAGTTTTTTTAGCATTTTGACTGATTTTTCAAGAGCCACAGAATAGTTTGTGCTATGACTATGTAAACACCGAACACACCAAAAGAAAGAGTAGACTCTCTTCTTTCATCAGGAAAATAAATGTGTTTCTACCTTATTCCGTTCTTCTTCAACGTGCGTCTCACCGGCGCCATTTCTCGCATAGCGAACCATTGCGTTTGTTTTTATTTGCCTACAGTCTATGCTCATCTCCCATCAAAAGTGGCACTGCCCCCTAGAGGGTCAATTTGTTACTACATACTCTGTCTAGAAGCCTGATATTTACGGAAAAACTTTAGCCGATCGTCCCCCAGACACTCGCATTGAAAAACATAAAAGACGTCTATAGACCTCTTTGGCAGCGAATGAGTTAAGAGGCAGAAACCTGGAGGGTAGGGGGGGGCATGTGCCTCGGCCGATTGGAGAGGGGGGAGAGAGGGTTAAGCTGGTTGGTTTGTTCCTCAGGTTGATCAGCGAGCGCACGGTGGAGGAGAACATTTTGAAAAAGGCCAACCAGAAGAGGATGCTGGGCGACATGGCCATAGAGGGAGGAAACTTCACCACCGCCTTCTTCAAACAGGTAGCTTTTAATTAAAGAGAAATACTGCTCTGTCTTTAGCTTCTTTATCAGAGCCTGTTTTCCTCCTCACCTGTTTTGGGGCTGGACGGTCAGAAAATGTTTTAATTACAAAAGATACCGCTTTAAAATAATCTAATATGGCTAATATAGACATAAACGACCATAAAAAGCCTCACCTTTGCTGTCTTGCTTCCAAAGCTGTTCCTGAACAGAAACCTTTGATTTGCTTCTCTCAGATTTAATTCTTTTTTTCGGCGTAAATTTGATCCCAAAAGGGTTTAAACAGACTTTGAAATGAATAGAAAAATCTCTAATTTGGGTTGAAACCCCAGAATTAGTCTTTTGAGGGGTTTAACAGGTCGGTGACGCTTTTGCCTCTTAAATCTGGTGGTTTTTACCTGTTTTTCTGAGAAGGTGGACCCCAGTTACTGAGGACTCTTAAACACTTTTACTATATCCATGTATTATTACTATTGCTATTGTTATTATTGAGGCTTCTTTAGATCTAAAATGTTCCTTTTCTCCGGGAGTACAGAACCTGATAAGATATGTGACAGATTAGACACAATTTATTTATCTTTTATATGTGCCTGTCTCTTTCTGTTCTTCTTTTTGATGCTAATGGCCTGTCAATCATCATTTTAGTCAATAAAGTTTTTTAAAATAAATAAACCTGGTGTTTTTGTTGCTCAGCAAACCATCCGCGAGCTGTTTGACGTGAACGAGGGCGAGAAGCGTGAGGCGGCGGTGGAGCTGTCGGTGGCTCAGCCCGAGGAGGAGGAGGGCGTCACCAAGCAGTGCACCACCATCCTGGAGCAGGTGAGGGGGGGGGATCTGGGGCAGGGGGGGGGCAGGGGGGGGGGCGGGGCCACCTGGGGCTGAGACTAGAGGATGAGACTCCCAGACCAAAGTTTAAAAAATAATCCCATCCCGTTCCTGTTTAAACTGACTCCCGCTCCTGTACCGCTCCCATATATTTTTTTCTTCAATTAGTGTTTAGTCTTACAAGCAGCGTACATCGTGCTAGCACCGTCACATTCTACTCTCATAAACGTATAGAATATTTCAGACTTTCAGACCAGTTCTGTGAACTTAATAGACATGTCATTACTTCTGACTTTGCGCTGTTAGCTCCCTCCATCACTGCTCTTTTAATTCCGGCGGTAAACCTTGACAAAAAGCACTGATGGCTTCTGGATCCAATGGGGAGAGGCTGGGTCAACCTGGATGGCAGCATCACAAACATCATTGATTCATTCACTCAATGCTTCAGACACCAAAGCCAAAGTCTCGTTATAACCACGCTGTACGGTTTACATTTATTGTCCACTAGAGGGCACCATAGAGCAAACAAAGCACCATGAAGCTTCAACACACGAGTGAACCAATTGGATGGAACGCTTCAAAGCTTTATGAAGCTTCATCTCATCTCAACTCAACTCAACTTTATTTATAAATCGCTTTCAGTCAGCCAAAACTAAAATCAAAGCGCTGTACAGGCCATTTGAGCAGATCATAAAACACAATTATCACCTCCACACAAGACAAACTCAGTAATTTTGTAATAGCTCAGAGAGGTATGGTGGAGCTAGGCCATTTATTGTCTTATAAGCAAATAAAAGGATTTTAAAATGAATTCTAAAATGAACAGGGAGCCAATGAAGTGAGGCCAGGATTGGCAATCTCGCCATCACTACCCGTGGGATTCCCGAAAAAATGTCGGCCTCTAGCTTGAGACTGAGCCCTCCTTAAAAAACACTCAGCTAACATTCTCATTATGACATAAGTCATAAAAATCGCCCAACAAATCATTTTTCTGACTCAAATGATAGTTTTTCACAACTATTTCCATTAAAATGAAGTGGTTTTTGGTTGTTCCTCTTTAAACTAGTGGCCAGTATGATTTTCTGATTGGTTTACATGGGTTTTTTTTTTCCACCAAAGGGAAATGGGTTGCCATGTTTCCTTAGAAAAGACCATTTTCTCCCCCAGGCTTTGTGCCGCGCCGAGGACGAGGAGGACATCGTGGCGGCCTCGCAGGCCAAAGCGGAGCAGGTGGCCGAGCTGGCCGAGTTCAACGAGAACATCCCGCTGGACGAGGGCGGCGAGCCCGAGGAGGCGGAGGAGCTGTCCAAGGCCGAGCAGGAGATCGCCGCCCTGGTGGAGCAGGTGGGTATCGGCCCGGCCAGAGGGGGGCGGGGGGGGGAGGCTATAGGCTTGTAGTTGTGAAAGCGTGCGTCCCCTTTAGGCGCCGTGGGAATGTCGGGCGTTTAAAAGTACTGCATCCTCAATTAAGTACTATCTAGGGATGGGACGGTTTCTGAAAACCGTCTGAACCGTTGGGTTGGACTGTCTCGGTTCGGTTCGCGTGTGTTGCGTTCGGTTCATGCTGCTCCTTTTTCTCAGAGGGAAGCGTTTACACTCCAGAGCAGAAGGGGGCGCTACTGCGCCCAAAGCCAACCACCAGTAGGAAACAAGAAGAAGAAGCGAAGCAGCGTAGCCGATAAAAATCAGACCGCCAGCAGCAGTTTATATATTTTCTGCTGTATGGGACCACTCTGCATTTAGAGGGAAGCACATGTTGGAATTAGCACTGTTTCCTCTCTTGCAATGCCAGAATCTCACCTACTTTTAACCTAAGACTGTCACAATAATGTATCAAATGTCAGACTGCTTTTTTCTTTCAGTTTTAACCTGACTATACAAGACATAATAGATTTTCCAAACAATCAACACATACCGAACCGAACCGAAAACCGTGACCACGAAACCGCGAATCGAACCGAACCGTGGATTTTGTGAACCGTCCCACCCCTAGTACTAACATATCATTAATAAACATAAGTATAACAACAGTATTTTTCTTCAGAAATGAGAAGTTTAGAGCTTATTTATCAGCAGTAAATGTTGCTGCAAACCCTGAATTGAAACGCCGGGGGTTAAATATGTGGTTGTGTATGCACGCACAAGTCAAATGAACTTGACTAAAACTAATAAACAATAGAAGCAAGTATTCGTATCATGCAGAGAGAAGCTGATGTGTGCTATAGAAAAAATGCAAACGGTTTTGGTGTGTAACAAATAAAAACAGGTGGCGACTCGTCAAGTGTTTATTTATGTTTATGTTTATACATTTGGCAGACGCTTTTATCCAAAGCGACTTACAGAGTAGACACAATATTACATTTATCACCACTATTAAAATAAGCTATACAGAGGAGAAACCCTGATCAGAGTCAGTGGTGAGATAGAGATAGAGGTAGAGGGACTACAGAAGGAGTTGTGTGGGGGACTTACACCTGCTCTCTGCCCCCCCCCCCCCCCCCTCAGCTCACGCCCATCGAGCGCTACGCCATGAACTTCCTGGAGGCGTCGCTGGAAGACGTCTGCAAAGAGGAACTGAAGCAGGCCGAGGTAAGACCCCCCCCATTATCCCTTTAGATGTGAGATATTTCCTCATTTTCTGCCTTTTAGCTCATACTGAAATTCATACCTTCATTGGAAAACTCATTATCATAATACTATAACTCATAATAGCTCATAATAATTATAAGTTATAATAGTTATCATTATTACATCATTATAATTTAATATTAATTTAAAGTTTATTTGATTATAAAAATTATATTTATTTATTTCCTGAAGCGAAACGGATTCTTCAGATTTTTTTTTGTTTTTCTTGAATTAGACTTTAAAACAAAAATGTTTTTTTTCAAACTGTTTTAATGGTTTCAAATTCTTAATTTCCATTAATATGATGTTTTCTGCTCTTGTTTGAAACCGCTTTAAATATTATTTTCAACAAAAACACAAAAAACCCTGAGAGCAAACTTTTTTTAAATACACATTATAATTATGATTATTTCAAATTTTTTGGAGAATTTGGTGTTTCAGGGATTTCAGTGAGCTAAAATCCAGCGTCCATCTTGATAATCTTTCAGTTTACTTAAAGTAAATATGCTAAATGAAACCCAAACATTTAGTCGTTTTTAAACGGAGAAAAGAGAGGTGACCTAAATGTCACGTTGTGTTTGGAGCAGGACGCAAAAAACGGGCTTTTCTCAGGAAACGTGGCAACCCCTTTCCTATTGGTGGAAAAAAAACCCACCCATGTCAGCCAATCAGAAAATTATACTGGTTTAAAGAAGAAGAAACCAAAAACCACCCAGACAATCGCTGCATTTGAATGGAAATGGTTGTGAAAAACCATTGTTGGGCGATTTTTACGACTAAAATCAGAATGAGATGGTTGACCGAGTGTTTTTTAAGGTGGAATAAGGGGGGAAATGAACCCTCCTGAGGTCTGACCGTGGTTCGTGTGTCTGCAGGAGCAGGTGGAGGCGGCCCGTAAGGGTCTGGACCAGGCGAAGGAGGAGGGTCTGATGCTTCACCAACACTCCTCCGACGACGACGACCACCACTTCCTGTCCGCGCCGGCGTGCTCCGAAACCGCCGCGGCGGCGCCGCCACGCCGCGGCCGCAAACCCCGAGACCGCACGCCGGCGTCCACCCGGACCAGCGGGCGTCTCCGGGGGGCGTCGCCCGACCCCGACCCGCCCGCCGTCGCTAAGGACGCGCCTGAGCGGCCGCGCGGCGGCCTGAGGGGGCGAACGGCGCCCGTGGACGCCAAACACGCCAACGCCTCGTCGCCGTCGCCGCGGCAACGCCCGGGACGCCCGCCGGCCAGCACGCCGTCCAGGCCGAGCGGCGAGGACGGCGAGAAAGATCAAAGGACGTGCGAGTCCTCGCCGGATTCCGGCAACAGGGAGGACGCCATTTCCCCGCCCAGCTCCTCGCGGTCGCCGCGGAAACGGCAGTCGGCGGACGGCGAGGTGCTCCGGGGCTTGGCGGACGACTCGCCGTCGGCCAAAGTTCTCCGGAAGCTCCCGGGGCGCCTGGTGACGGTGGTGGAGGGGAAAGAACCGCGGCGCCATCAGCGGCGGCGGCGGGCCAGCGGCGCCGGGGGCGGGTCCTCGGACGAGCACGTCGCCGCGGGATACGAGGAGCCGCCGGGCGGCGAGGGGAAGGCGAGGGCGGGCGCCGGCGCCGGCCGGTCGCCCGGGCAACCGGACGCCACCCTTCCGCGCTCGCCGCCGGACATGCCGGTGCTGAGGAACCTGCCGGTGCGGCGCCGCCTGGAGACGGAGTCCCGCATGGCGGCGCAGCGGGGGGGCGGGGCCTCAGACCCCCCCCTCGGCACGCCGCTGAAGAGGAAGAGGGGTCGGCCCCCCAAAACGCCGCCGGCCCCGGCGGAGGGCGAGGCCGGCGCCGTGGCGACGGCGGCGACCCCCGGCGGCTCGCCACACGACGACGGCGTGGAGTCGCCGCCGCCATTGTCCCCGAAACGGCGCCGGGGTCGCCCCCGTAAGGACTCCACGCCGGACGCCGCCGAGCCGAACGCCAACAGTCAACAGAGCGCCAGAGCCAGCAGCTCGCCGGGGGGCGAAGCCCCGCCCACCGCCGTATCCACGGAAACGCCAGAAGCATCGGGAATGGCGTCCCCCCTCCCACCGGCGCCGCCCGGGTGCTCAAACCCGACGGACCCCGCCCAGGAAGCTCCACCGGCCTCTGGGACCGTCCCGGCGGCGGCGGTCGCCGTGGCAACATCGGCGCCGCCAGCAGACGACCGGCCAGCTGCTATGGCGGTGGTGGCGGCGGTCGCCGTGGCAACACCGGCTCCTCCGGCAGATGGAGCCGGTGAACTCGAAACCCCTACGACTCCGAGCACAGAAAAGACAGCAGAGCCATCGGCCCCGCCTCCAACCAAGGAGGCCCCGCCCACTAAATCCACCCTGGAGGCCCCGCCCACAAACTCTACCCGGGAGGCCCCGCCCACTGTCTCCACCCAGGAGGCCCCGCCCACAAACTCCACCCAAGAAGCTCCTCCCACTACATCCAATGTGGCCACTCCCACTGTCTCAACCAATGAGGTCCCTCCCACAGACTCCACGCATGTGGCCCCTCCCACTGCGTGCAAGGAGGCCCCTCCCACTAAATCCAATGTGGCCCCGCCCACAAACTCTTCCCAGGAGGCCCGTCCCACTGTCTCAACCCATTTGGCTCCTCCCACAAACGCCACCGTGGAGGACCCACCCACTGACTCCACTAATAAGGCCCCTCCCACCACATCCAATAAAGCTCCTCCCATTAAATCCAAGGAGGCCCCTCCCACTAAATCCAATGTGGCCCCTCCCACAGACTCCACCCATGTGGCCCCTCCCATCACATCCAATAAGGCCCCTCCCACCAATGAGGCCCCTCCCACTCAGTCCAATGAGGCCCCTCCCACAAACTCCACCCATGTGGCCCCTCCCACCACATCCAATGAAGCTCCTCCCATTAAATCCAATGTGGCTCCTCCCACTACATCCAATGAGGCCCCTCCCACTAAATCCAATGTGGTCCCTCCCACAGACTCCACTCATGAAGCCCCTCCCACTAAATCCAATGAGGCCCCTCCCACTGACTCCGCCCCCCCACCAGAACAAGCGCCCCCCTCCTCTCAGCCTCCGGCCGGTCGGGAGGAAGCCGACGGGAAATGCTCCAAAAGTGACTCTGAAACGGAGGCCGAGGCCCCGGGGGGCGGAGCCAAACCCGGCGGGGGGTCGAAAGGGGGCGGAGCCAAAAAGGGGGCGGGGCCTCGGCTGAGCCGGCAGAGCAGCCAGGACTCGGCGCGCTCGTCCTCGCCGTCCTCCGGCGGCTCCAGCTCCACGCTCACGCGCCACGCCCACCACAAGAGGACCTACGAGAACCGCCACCCGGCCAAACGGCGCCGGGCGGACGCCGC